ATTAAACATTTTGCATGCCACAAGCTTATTAAGAAAGACGAACCTTTAGACAAGCTTCGAAGCATAAATTGCAAATTTGGAGTTTCGTATGCATATTATGAAGATATCTTGAAGTCTTCTGTTTGGTCTTCTGGTATAAATGTCCGACCATTCCGCTTTTTTCAAAGCCCCTTCGGAAGCGCACAAGTAGTTTGAATTCTGGCAACTGTAGCTCAGCTCCTAAGGGTCTTCAAATTTATTTTCAAAATATGTCTGGAATGCGGGCTAAAACCAAAGAGATATTTTTATCAACGTCCCGCGTTGACTTTGAAGTCTATGTTTTTGTGGAAACATGGCTGAATGCTGACTTTCATGACGAAGTGTATTTTAATCCAACTTTATTTAATGTATTCAGGAAGGATAGAGATCCGGTGAAGACTGGCCACTCCAAAGGTGGTGATGTCCTAATCGCCTTAAAGCGCTGTATCCGCTCGTCGTTACATCAATTACACGTAAACAGGACGTACGAGATAAATTTTCTGGATAGCCTGCTTAGTTTAAACTTAATTCAAATTAATTCATTATCTAATAAGTTGTCTAAAATTCTTGACCTTGTCTTTTTTTATGAAAATTCAATATTTAACTTAGAGGAATGCAGTTTTCCGGTTAGTAAAACTGATATGCATCATGTGCCCATAATTATTTATTTGGAAATGTTTGATAATTTCACTGCAAGGAATATAACGTCTGGGTTCTTTAACTTCCGCGAGGCTAACTTTCAGGCTTTCGATATTGCCTTGTCTGAAATCAACAGGCACTCTGTTTTTATTTCTAAGATCGTCTCAGAGTGTTTTGATTCTTTTGTGTGCACACTGAATAATCTTTTTTCTAAATATCTTCCGCTGCTGCCGCCTAGGATTCATAGATTACCCTGGTACACAAGTATCTAGAATCTTAAAAACAAAAGAAACAATTATTATAAACTACATAAAAGTCAGCTCGATAATGTTAATCTCAAGGCTAAATATATCTCGTTCATGAGACAATTTAACATCTTGGATAAATTTCTTTATAACAAGTATATTAGTAAATTTGAGTCTGATTTGAAGGAAAATCCCAAAGCCTTCTGGAGCTTCATCCGTTCCAAATCGGGCTCCTCAAATATACCTTCCTGTATGTACTATAATGGTAAGTGTTCTGAGTCGATTAGTGATACTGTCGAATTTTTCGCTGAGTTTTTTAAATCAAATTTTGTCGTTGATGACAACTCCCCCCAGGTTTCCAGTTAACTCTTGTCCTCCACAAGGTTTAGACTTTGGATCGATGTCTTTGACAGAATCTGACATTATCAGAGTCATATTCTCTCTTAAAAAGTCTTTTAAATGTGATTCCGACGGTATTTGTCCCTTTTTCCTTAAGCAATGTCATTCCTCCGTTTGTGTTCCACTGTGTATGATCTTCAATCTCTCTCTTCGTTCAGGTGTTTTCATCGAGCGCTGAAAAGCAGCGTCCATCACTCCCATCTTCAAGTCAGGTCGTAGGAATGATGTTTCTAATTACAGACCTATCTCTAAACTTACTGTTTGCTCCAAGCTTTTTGAGAAGGTGGTAATGGAGAAACTATCTTTTGCCCTAAAAAGTATCGTGAATCCTCGTCAGCATGGTTTTGTCGGTGGTCGTTCTACCGTAACGAACCTCGCTGTTTTTTCTGAATTTTGTATATCTGCGTTCAGAAATGGGTCCCAAGTGGACAGCATCTATACAGATTTCTCCAAGGCGTTTGATAAGGTATCACATTCAATTTTGCTTCGTAAATTAAGAAGCATTGGTTTCCATTCGGTTTTCTTAAATTGGTTAAAGTCATATCTTTCAAACAGAACTCTGTTTGTTGAAATTGAAAACTGCAGGTCTTCTCAATTTGCCGCTACTTCGGGGGTGCCCCAAGGCAGTGTGCTTGGTCCGCTGTTGTTCGTCCTGTTTATTAACGATATCGGGTCCTGTTTCAATAACTCTGATTACCTGCTGTATGCCGATGATCTGAAACTGTTTCGTAAAATCAATTGTGTCTCCGATTCGAAGAAGATCTGTTTAATCTCGAAGTATGGTGCCAAAAAAATATGTTATCCCTCAATATAAAGAAATGCTTCCATATGACCCTCGCTAAAACATCTAAAATTTTTCTAACTAACTATTATATCTCAAATGTACAACTCGCTTCTGTTAATGACTTTGTTGATCTTGGTGTCGTTTTTGACTCTGGGTTCACGTTTGTTAATCACATATGCCATATTCTTCCGAAGGCTTACAGGAACCTAGCTTTTCTGCGAAGGCATGCGAAGGATTTTAAGGATCCCTATACAAGGAAAACTCTTTAACTCTCTTGTTCGTTCAAAGCTTGAATATGCCTCGGTTATCTGGAGCCCTATATATAATTTCCACGCACTTCGTATCGAACGTGTCCAGAGAAAATTTATTCGGTTTGCACTTCAGCCGCTTCGATTCTCTGACCCTCTTCCGCCCTATATAGCTCGTTGCAAGCTTATAGTTTTAAACTCTCTTGAGTGAAGAAGACATGTCCATTCCCTTATGTTTGTTTATGACCTGATTTCTGGCGTCATTGATTGTCCGGAATTACTTGTGCATATCGGTTTCAATGTCCCGAGCAGAATATTGCGGTTTGTCCCGCCGCTTTATGTTATCCCTCCTAAAGCTAATTATTGGGCTCAATTCCCGATTTGGAGGGCTCTTACTGAACTTAATGCAATTTAAAAAAATTTAAATATTGACTTTTCTATTAGTAGGCAGTCTTTCAGAAGTTTAATTGAATCTGTGTACTCCTAGTGTAGTTCTTAATTTTTTACCTATTAATTTTATTCTAGTCTGTAAGATTCTTTGTAATCATAGACTCAATAAACATTGAATTGAATTGAACCACTTCTTACCTAGGGGATTTTTGGGTCGCTGATTACGAATCTGAAGTCACTTATCAAAAATTCAAAATGGCGGATCCAATATGGCGGAAGAAAATTAAAAAAAATCGGTAGATTTCTATGAAACTGGGTATCTGGGGGTTTTCTGGGTCGCTGATTACATATCTAAAGCCATTTACCAAAAATTCAAAATGGCGGATCCAATATGGCGGACGAAAATTCAAAAAAAATCGGTAGGTTTCTATGTAACTGGGTATCTGAGGGGTTTCCGGGTTGCTGATTACGAATCTAAAGTAATTTACTTTATTTACTTCGGAACGAGCATTTTCATCAGATATTTCTTTCAATTTACTAATCACATAATCACGGACACCTTGTTGTCTTTTAGAAGTTTCAGCAACACTTCTCCAAATGTCAAACAACTCACTTCTTAAGATTTTATTTACCATGACTAAAATTTAAATTTAATTTAATTTTATAACAGCGCTTAAAGATTTGCATGCCTGTTGTATAATTTTTTAATTTCAGAAAGCTGAAAATTCGCGAGTTACTATTTTTTTACTCTTACATAACCAAAGTTTTTATAACTCCAAGTATTTTTCTGTTTTAACACACAACCCCTATATATATCTATAGCGGAAAGTGTAATTTTTTGTTTATAAAGTCAATTTGCAATTATGCAAATATCTGCGAGTGCAATTAGCAATCTTTTAAGTTAAATTTCAGCTTTTAAAATAGAGTTCTCAAATAGGCGGCGTTGACTTACTTTTTTTGCTTGTTTTCATATGTTAATGCTTTAATAAATGCAATTTCTATTTGAATGTATTGTCAGGAATGTATTCCAAGTACCATTAAGTATTTTAAAAATAAAAAAAATTTTGACTTTCGTCCAGCTAGATCTGCTATCCGAACCACTGTGCAGCGCTACACACCTTCGGTAAAAAAATTCAAAAAAATCAACAGTAATTTTTAGCCACTTGAAACTTGTACATTATTACACTAAAATTGAATTGGCTATAAAACTGTACACTCAAAAAACACTTCCGAGAAAAAAGTTTGAAATTATGATGCATCTTTTTTTAAGTGTTCTACAAAATCTTAAGCTTAGGTTTATATGGTATTTGTTAGGGAATGAACTGTATTTTAATTGATTGAAAAATCTCATAAATTAATAAATAAACATAAGTGGCAAACAAAATCATTTTGAATTTGGTACAAAATGATATGTCCAACTTTGGCTTTTTAAACAATTTAATTCTTGTAAAAATTACATACCATTGCACTATATTTTTTTTTTTAATAAAGGTTTTCTTTACTTGTTCATATGTATAAATAATGCTACGATTTTGGGTTTATACTATGTGTACTTCATTAAATGTTGTTAACCAAGTATTTATGTAAGTTAATAAGAAGATGTAAATAGTAATTATGTTCGCTTAAGTACCCGTATAGAGGTACTTAAGCGGGTTCTTTTAAGTACCCAACCCGACTAAGTACCTCAAAAAGCTGACATTATTCGTGAGGTACTTAAGCGGGTTTTATTGTACATACAGTAAGACCCTGCGTGTATCTAAATTGAATAACTGTAGAACATCCCCGTTGTAAAAATCTGAAGTAAAACCTTGATGAAATTCCTTACCTAGATTTTTATAAATTAAAGAAGAAACTGTAAAAGAACTCCTCCAAAAGGCCTTCTGAAATACGTCCTATAAAAGCCCTTCTGGAAGGCCTTCCATGGGTAGCGAAAGAAGAAGCCCTTCAATTTGTGCCACTCCATACTAAAAAGAAAGGAGAAAGGAATGTAGAGTGGAAGGCCTCTTGACTCTCAGGAAGGCTTTTCGGAAGGGCTTTTAACTCCTGAAATTATCTACTGGAAAGGTTGACCGTTGGTACTTGCCACCTCTGTGAAATCAGAGAAAGTTGGTAAATATGACTATACCCTTCGATTTTCAACATTTTAAATTTTGAACGTTTACCATATAAAGAAGACATCAGCCACTCTTACTGCTTTAGTCGTTCCTTCCCTTGACTGCCATCAACATTATAATTTTTTATGATCTCTGGTGAAGGGATCCTTTCGATGTTTTCGATTTAATCACCCATGATCTGCTTCATTAAAGCGACCTGCTTAATATTGAGTAATTGAGTTACTAGTTTTAATATGCATAATAAGAGTTATTAGTTCTAATTATGGGATGCAAACACCAAAATAAACTTACAATTACTCCCCTTTTCTCACCCTTAAGTTCACAATTTATTTTATCCAACTGTTGGGAGTTTTTAACAGGGAATTGATTCGGACACACTTCGACAAGCTGTTGCATAATTTGATATTGCTGTTTTGATATTTTATCGAGTTTATTGTTTATCTCCACCTCTTCTTTTTTAAGTTCAATAATTTTTGCATCTGGGAATTAAATTATTGGGTTAAAATTGAAAACAAGTCCTTGTTTGTGCAAGGCTTACCACGTTTGCCAATCTGGCTGTACTGAATTGTTGGTATCTCCATGTCGCTCGACTAAATCTTGTGAAGTAATGCAATTAATACATATTTTGAATTATATCTCAGAAGATAATTTAGGTAGGCCTTCTTAAGTAAAGGCCTCCCAGAAGGGCTGAAAAAAGTGCTTCCTTGCATTCTAGAAGGGCTTATCCATTTACAATTTACGCGAATGCATAAATTTATATTATTTAGCATTACAAATGAATTTCAATAAACATTTTAAGTTGCAATTACACATATTTGATATAAACCTTAAGCAAATACTTTAAAGATGTATGAATTCTATAAATTAAAGAAGCAACTTTAAAATAACTCCTCCAAAAGGCCTTGTGAAGTACATACGTCCTATAATAGCCCTTCTGGAAGGCATTTCATGGGTAGCGAAAAAAGAAGCCCTTTAATTTCTGCCACTCCATACAAAAAAAAGAAAGGTGAAAGGAATTTAGAGTGGAAGGCCTCTTAAGTCTCAGGAAAGCCTTTCGGAAGGGCTGTTAATCCCTGAAAATATATACTGGGAAGGCAAATCCATCATTTTAAATTTAATGTGATTTGGCTTGCCAGAGAATCGACTTTCTTCGTCAATATTTTCTACGATAACTATGACTAAACTGTTTGACGGTACTTGAATGCCAACATTTCGCCGTTTTTTACGAAAATAATTTTTGCAAACACTTGCTTCTCGTTCAAGCCTGGAATTCCTTCCATCACGCAGAGGAGGAAGACCACTTATGTAAACTTCGTTTTGATTTATTTTGATAATGGCACCTTTCTGCTTCTTACATCTAATTTTATCGCTGCATTTTCTGATCGGACGTAAGTAATACTTGTTCCTTAGCTGTTGTAAAATTTTATTTGGTTTTTTTTACATACACCTTCAGTTCCCGCATAAAATGTTCACAACCGTAGGCGGAAAATATCCTAATGTGGCCAGTCGTTTGTGCACTTTCACATTAATGTAATAAGTTATGCACATTATATGTTAAAGTTTCGTTACCGTAAATATTTTTGAAATATTTTACAAAATCGCTCAGCATGGCTTGAATGCATTGGTAGTTTTTTTCAAATTTCGAACGCACATTTAAAAGGCGGTAGGATCAGTGTAGGAGTAAAAAATGGTAGTAGCTATTGTTATCCAGAATATCCTTTAAAATGACCGCACCAGTGTACAAAACGAATTGTCGGTAGTATATCGCCTTCCAACGACTAAGTTCATGTAATCGCGGTGTATCTGAAAATTTATCTCTATTTGCTCCAATAAAATTTTTCACGATTAGTTTCAACAGTTTATTCGTAACTCCGAGGTGCCGATATACTGATGCGCAATCTACTCAAGCTGGTTTCAGTCGACACGAATGGCAAGGACATCATTCGCTTGGCGCGCAAGGAGGCCGTCAAATGCATTCAGGCTTCAATCAATGTGCTCGAGGCGAAAGCGAACTAGAACACCAAGGCTGCTCAGCAGTCGGCAGAGGATGGTGCATAGAGCTGTACCAAATCGTATGTATTCGTTACTGAGTAACGAATACAACCCCTGACTCGAAGTACCGAATCGTTACTCACATAATAATCTCGTTACTCGCATGTTCCGTATATGCACCATCATCGTGAATCAATACAACACAACATATTGTGCGGTAACGAAACTGGTTTTAGTATCGATACTAAAGTGTGTTGCGAGTGTATGTACGTACATTAGGGCGGGTCAATTTTTTTTCGACATTGTTCCTAGCTGATTCGGATTCTACATAAAATTCTAAGAAAAAAAGCCCTTTAGACCATAGCCCTAAAATCAATTTCGAGCCTGAGCAATTTTAAAAGAAAATATCTTTAATTAATACTAAGTCCATAATCAGATTATATTTACTAAAGTGTTAGGAATTTTTTTTTTTTGTAATAAAGAGTTGTGCTCCGGAGTTTTGTGATATGGAAAATCCATTTCTAATATCTATTTTTTATTTAAAGAACCGCAATATGGCGCTTCAAATCAAATCTGCTATATATTTGTGGAAGAATGTATGTATGTATGTGCCAGGTTACAGCCTAAACGGATGGACAGAATTGAATAAAATTTTGCCAAAGTATTGCCATGACTCCTGGACCTATAATTGGGTAAAAAAATTGGAACGAGCCAAGGGGGGAGGGGGATGGGGGATACCTCCCATAGTGAAAATTTTTAATCAACCCTAACTTCGGAATTATAGTCACATGAACTCGAAATTTGAAATGCACAGATACCTATGGTACGTGCTTATGGAAAAATATATGTATATGAATGAGTTTGTAAAAAGGGGCGTGGCACATCTCATAGGTGTGGAATCTTTTATCAGCTATAACAGCAGGCAGTATTAGTGATCTCAATGTATTGCATTTTGAAGATTTGTTATAATTGATCAAAGTGAAATTCAGATAAATTATAGATGATATGAAGTTCACCGGGTCATCTTCTAGTCTTTAATATATACTAAGTTAATATATGGATTAATATTTACTAAAGTGTTATGAACGTTATTTTTTTAATACAATAAGAAAAAAATAACTAATTTAAAGGAGTGACACACAATGGCTAGAGACGTCGCATGTGTGTATTCTTTCATATACATATATATGGGCCGTTCTTACCGTTATATATTTTTCATCCGCTCGCTTATTCCTTACCGAAATTTTAAATAAAAATTTAACAAGTTTTAACCGCTGATACAGTACAGGCAGCAGTTTAAAATGGAGAACTGGGTAAGCTTAATGGAGAAAACATATTCTCTGGTTAAATTAATAAGCCTGCCCGGATAACACAAAATCCTAAGCTTGATAAAAATTTGGTGTTATACAAGTTTTATAAAGCTCTACTTGTATTTAGGAAAAATGCCGAAAAAAAAATTATAAAATTTATTGATTGACTGATAAAAATAGAGAGGGAGTTATGGCTATGACAATAGAAAGTAGAAAAAAGATACCTAGTGTTGAAAGCAAAAATGACCTAAAACCAAAAAAAAAATATAAATACATTGTTAATCATAACAAAATTAATGATTCGAAAAATAATTTTGAAATATTGTAAAATTTTTTTTTTTGGTTTTTTAAAGTTAAAGTTTCATTTACTTACAGTAACGAACAAAAGTATTGGCACAGTGAATTTTACGCAATATAGGCAAAGTATCTGAATATAAAATTGCAAATTAGTTTGCAGATTTATCGGATTTTCCTGAGTTTTGCACAAAGTTTACACATTTGATTTTTATGTGTTTTGGTATAGTATGAACTATGTTTTTATAAAAAATTATCGGAAATAAATTAAAAACTTTGCATATTTGTAATGCGAATATTTACTGTGCCAAAACTTTTGTTCGACACTGTACATATAAAAAAATACATACAGTAACTTCTCCCGTTACAATAGTAAAAAATATGTAATTTGCTTTGTAGTGCAATCTTGCGGTTCTTTAAATAGATATCAGAAATAGATTTTTCGTACCGATAAACTCCCAAGCACAAAAAAATATATCCGTAACACTTTATTAAATATTAATCTGCATATTTTATTAATTCGTCGGAATATTTTGCCTTTGTGCCTTTTTACAAACTCCTTTATATGCATATATCTTTCCATAAGCACCTACCATAGGTAACTGTGCATTTCAAATTTCAAGTTCATGTGACTACAATTCCGAAGTTAGAGCTGACTAAAAATTTTCATTATGGGAGGTATCCCCATTTCTTGTTTCAGTAAAATAGTCGTAGTTTTCGGTACATTTACATCATTTTTTCTTAGCGCTTCTAAAATATCGTCACCTGCTGCTCCACTTCTATTATGGCGTACAAAAACGTTGGCCAGCTGTTCTCTAAGGGATTCTTTCTTCGATTTGTTGCGGCATAGAAAAGTTGGAACACTTTCATTGCCTCCTTCCAACACAACCGCTTCACTGCTTGCATTATTGCTCTTTCTAAGAGTTTGAATTTGCGAATATTTTAGTATTATTTTCTTTTGTTTATTTGCCGATTAATTGATCGTTTTACACTTGACATATTTGCACTTATTTCCGAATTTTACATTATTGGAAAAACATGAATGAATTATCAAAACAAAATTCCAAACAAACTTCGAACAAACGACATTTACTCGTATTTTCTTTTTTCCTCTGCTTCTTCGAAAATGTGAGAGAGAGGCGCTAAAAGATATCGAAATTGTACTGAGTGATTTCGATATGAATTGCCAACAAAGAATCAGGAGTGCTTTTTCAGCACTGAAATATTTTTACTACGGGGATATGAGCACTTAAGTAAAAATACATACACCTCACAAAACCGGCAGCAGGTATTCTATAGAAAACAATTATTATTAACCAGCTGACATATTCTATATCTTCTTCAATTTCACAATCTCAACACGGGTTTTCTAAAGGAAAATCTACTATCACTAATTTATTCTAGTTTAGAACTCATTTCTCAAACGGTTTTAGAGAAAATGCTCATACCGACGTAATATACACCTATTTCAGTAAAGCTTTTGACAAAGTATGTTACTCGTTACTCATCCGTAAACTCGACCTAATCGCCTTTCAGCCCAGTCTTCTTCAATGGATCTCTTCTTACCTCTCTGCTAGAACACAAAGAATTATTTTTAAAAATTGTTCTTCCATCTTTATTAAAGTTTCTTCAGGAGTTCCTCAGGGAAGCCACCTTGGTCTGATTCTGTCCATGACATTCATTAATAATATTTCTTCTATAATTAAATACTCAAAAATTTTAATGTATGCCGATGATGTGAAACTTTTCAAAACATTGTCCTCTATCGAAGAAATGTCTTTGTTACAAGCGGATCTAAGCAACGTGGTTAGTCGGTGTAATGCAAACTATATGCCACTAAACCTTAAAAAATGTAAAGTTATGTGTTTCTCTGGAAGGGCAGTTCAACCAGCTGTTTATTCAATATCAAATTATAATCTGGAGCAGATATCCAATTTTGTCGATCTTGGTATCGCAATGGATTCCAAACTCAATTTCAACCTTCATATTAATGT